TCCTCCCTGGGTGTATCTCTTCAGATGCCCATCTTTGATCAGAGTTTCGATTGCATCCTTCAGGTGGATGCAGTCCTCTGTCATATGACCGTGGCTTCGGTGGAAGCGACAATACTTAGATTTGTCCATGTTGGCTTTGGTGGGTGCCGGTTTCGGAAAACGGATGCCTCCTGGGACAAATTCGGAATTGGCGCACTCAGCCAGTATCTGCTCGCGTGAAGCAACTAGTGTCGTGTATTCGGTGAAACGGCCGACGGGGCCCCATTGCTCGAGGGGTTCTCGGGGCGGTCCTCCCGTCGTTGCCCCCCCTCCCCCGCGACATTGGCCTGAGGTCCGTTCCCATCGGGATCCTCTGGGGGCTTCTTTATGTCCGCGTGTCGCGGGCGTTGTTGGTGGCTTGTGTTTCCTCGAACCGGATATAGTGGCGAGCCCTGTCGAGGAAGTCTTGGAGGGAGTCTGGTCGGTGGATAGCCACGACCTCGTAGAATTTGGAGTCCCGGCGTAAGCCCTGCTCCATCAGGTAACGTTTCATCTCGTCCGAAGTTGTTACCTGAACCGCCTCCCTCGTAAACCTCATGATGTAGTTCCTGAGGGATCATCGAGGGCTTGGATGATCGCGCCCAGCGTGGCCTCTGTCTTCGGATGGCGTCTGGACGCCGTGAAGTGTCACGAAAACAGGTCCTTCAGGACCCTCCACGACGTGACGGACTCCGGTTCCTGGCTCACGTACCACGTCATAGCGCCTTTCCTCAGGGTCGTCGGAAAAAGCCTGCGCTTGATGGCTCCTCGAACGTTCTGGTAGTCTAGCATAGCCTCGATGTCCTCCAGATGATCGTCTGAGTCCGAGGTGCCGTCGTACGTTGAGAGCACGGGCGATTTCTCCATCCCGTGGGGAATGGGAGCCGCCATGATCTCTCGGGACAACGGGGTCCGGTAGTCGTCCTCGTCGCTGAGGATCGGAGATTGAGGGGGTGAGGGCCCATTGCGAGAAGGAGGTTAGTTCTGTACTCTTGGTTGCCTGACCGGTGCCTCGGGTCTCCCCGTCCTCAGGTCCTGAGAGCGTCTATCCTTCCGGGTCGGCGACCTGGCTCGCTTCTTGAAGACCACGGATTGAGGCCTCTCCAGCTGTGGTCGGCACCCTCGTGGTTGAGGAGAGGGGCTCCGAGAGCTCCCGCGCTGATCTTCCCGCGGAGGGGAGCGGGATGAGGTGTCGTGTTCCATTGTGCCAATGCGTTTGTTCTGCTGGAACATCATCTCGTTCGTCTGGTTGATGGCCGCGAAAAGGGCGACCATCGTCGGGTCCGCGCGTGACCGGAGTGAGGATGGGCTGGAATACTATCGGGCTCCTTGCCAAGAGATAACATGGTGCGGTGCGTCCTTGGAGGATGGGGAGGCAGTCTGGCCGTCCCTGACGTCGGTCTCGCGGAGTTGAGATTCCCCCACCTGACCGTTGTCGTTGGTGACGGGGACGGGGGCGGAGTTGTGAACAACGTCGTCATGGCGCGGGCTAGTCATGATCCTGAAGTTTTGAGAGATGAAGCTTTGGTTCTCTGCTCGGAGGAACGGGGAAGCTTAGATTCCCCATACTCGACGCCACTGATCTGACCTGATCAGAAGGAAGTCAGTGACCTGCCACGCGCCGTTGATCAGCCACCTGTTCACCGGAGGTATGGAAGAGAAGGGGGTGTACCTACAAGATACTCCGATGCCAAAGTGAGAGAATGGACCAGAGTGAGAGAAAATACAAAAAGAAGGTTTAGAATAGAATACCTGACCCTCTAGTGAAAGAGGGTATTTATAGAGAGACCCCAGCGCAGGGCCAACGGTCAGTTGTGTTGGGCTGGATGGCCAGGCCCAACCTAAGTGACTGCTAGGGCTTACGTGGCGTAGTGAAGACCAAGACGTGGTCTTCGCCCTAGATCAACTGTCCCATGATCTCCGGAAGGTGGGTTGACCGCCTCTTTCGGAGGTGGGTAGTTGGTTGTTGACGTGCCCCCATGGAGAGGGCACGTGAAGAACGTGTGGATGGCATGTTGTTCTGCCCGACGGGGAGGAGGCTCCTGCCCGACGGTTGAGGTGCTCTGCTTTGCGAAGGCAGTGTCTGGTCGACAGAGGTCCTGTGCTCGACATCGCCCTGTTGGGATGGTTTAGGACCTTCCCCATACACAATTGGGCTGGGCCTGTCTGGACAAACCTGGGCCTAGTCCAAAACAGATACATTTATGAAACTAACAATAGAGGACACAAAATGATACGAGTATTTAAAGTTAAAATCTAAGTTTTATTGTAAGAATGATTGCAAATGCTAAATGATATCTTGATAGAGGCTGTTCAAAGCATATGACCGGTGATAAAACCTGGAATCCCACTTACACTTAGGGAGTAGTAATCCCAACAGTCGAACTGGTCGAGGTGCCTGGAGCATAAAGTCCCCTAGTATAGGGAGTGTTTAAAATACCTCCTAGAAGAGAGGCAACTTGGAGGTCCATTTTCTTCAATCGCATTGCTTCCTTGCTCTTTATTGCATATGCATATCCAATAAGGGAAACATCAAGGAAATGATTATTCAAGCAAGCATTTGAGAGAGGCAAGATTTCTATGTTACATACTAAAGATAGTCTTTCTCTCATCCTTATTTCCAACATCCACCAGGCAATATGTTTTGATGGACCTTTTCGACCATTTCCTTGACACTACGCCAAGAGGGACAACACTGTCGACATAATCAAGTTCTTTGTAAAAATACACTAGTATACTATTCAAGTATATTTATTTGGACATGTCATCCTCATTGTAAACATAAGATCCATCCCACGTGAAAAATGTCCATGGCTCAAGAATTTGCGAAATAAATTCGAACACACAATCAGAGGTAACAAAAAAGAAGTGATCCTTGAAATGCTTCAAGCTCTCATAATAGGTCCCAAAGAATTTGGAGTTTGGCCTCAAAGAAACTAGACCTAAATCGCATACTCGATTAGTTGTACTGTTTTGAGTCTTGAAGAGATGGAAGAACAATGTCACAGTCGACTTGCCACCCTTATATTTACACCAATGTTGGAAAACCTTGACAAACTCCCAACTAGCTGGATGTAATTGCTAATGGATGATCATCAAGTGTATCATAACATTGATTTCGAAGTCATTAAATGGAAGACAACAACCTATAAAGGAGAATAAGCATTCGTGGAAAGGGACGACACACTTGTCATATTCGCTGCATATCCTCTTATCTACTTCTGATGGAAACACTCCCCCAATCATACGATGACCCACATCAGTCAAAACACAGTTTAAGAAGCCCCCGCGGGCAAAAGCAGAGATAATTTCTAATGTTTCCTAGTCCACCCAGTCGACCGAGATATCTTTCTTCACCTTCCTAGTCATACTTGGTACATCTCCACGATAAGAAGCCCTATAAATAAGAACCTGATGCAGACAAGATAATATAGATAAACAAGTTCAAATGCAGACACTCCTACCAGAAAGCGTTGACGACAAGAAAAATCTATCGAAAAAGCGAAACACAAGTGTCAAAAGCTCATTACCCAGAAACCCTATAAAAAAGGCAAAAGCAAGAAGATTATATTGGCTTTATTTTAAAGAAAAATGGATCTATCAGCTAGGCATGCCAAATGGCAACGAGCAAACATCTCGTACAAAACTTAACCAAAGTTGGAATGGAAAACTTGCAAGAAAATATGACATGAAGAAGTAGAAAAAGTTCTTTTGCAGCTCGCTAATGGCAAAAATGACGCTTCTGGAGCCCTTTATATGCGCCTCATCCATTAACGATCATAAGATCCATCGCGCACCACTAACAATTGGAATTTCATTAAAAGTTGTTCAAAGTACCCACACACTCTAGAGATGAGGAAACATCATCACAAGTTAACGTAGGGACATGTGTCACTCTTTCGTAGCAAAACATTGCATATTACAAGGTAAATATTAAAAGTGTCTATTCTCCATGACATTGATGTCCCAGATTTACACGTCCCCAGGTCCAATAGTCATGTAGGAATACATATTGCAAGCCATCATCTTGGGGGGAAATTGTTTTGGTTGTCTATAAGGCTCAAAAACAAAAGGCCTATGAATAAAGCGAAAGTGATAAAGCGTGTAGAATATGTAAACTTTCTCTTCCCTAAAAGCATACGATTCCACCGACTGGAACTTTGTTAGCAGCTAGATTAATTTGACCGTGATCCACGTCTCACTCCACACTTTCTATTGTAAACCGCTTCTTCTATTTAAGAGGAAAGACACATTATTTCCAAATTATTCAAATTCATTCTCATTCTCATATCAATTTTCACTTTTTACTTACTTATATTAGAATATTAACCTTAAAGATTATTAGAATCTCATGTCATCACAATAAACTCTACTCCTATTTCTCATTCCACCACCAAATAAATTCATATAATTTTCTCATTATAATAATTAATTTTGACAAATAGATATGCGTTAATAAGAAAAAATGGATAATAATTAGTGGACCATAACAACATTGCCTATTTGTTTACATGACCGTGAAGGAAATAGAATTATGATTTGAAGCTAAATATTGAGTATGATTGATAGAGATAAGACAGGGTAATGAATCCGTTATTAGTAATCATTAATTACAATAATTGTAATTAACTCTTTTAACAAAATCAAAACATGAATAAAAGGAAAACGAACGCAAAACACACCTATATCTTTCCTTCATTATTTTATATTTTTTGTCATAAAAGCATTGTTATACATATTTAATTATGATCCTATATTAGTTAAATGCTTATGATAATCGAGAGCGTAAAAGAAGAGAAAGAATCAAAACAATGAATAAATAAAAACAATTTCGAAATATAAAAAAATTCCAACAGCAAGAAATGTGAGTGTCTTCTTCTTCCTCTTCTTCTTTCTCCGTTGTGTGTAGTTCAGATCTGCTACAGCCGTTTGTAGGTGAACTCGTCCATGTTATCGTGAATGTAGCAGAGAGAGAGAAAAAGATGAATGATCCAAGTAATCTTCATTTGAAGAAGGAGCTTACTCAAATTCGAAAAGCTGCTCGTGTTTTGAGGGATCCAGGTACTACTTCTTCATGGAAATCTACCTCGAGATCTGTTCCTGCTGCTTCTGCTTCTGCTGCGACTCCATTGAAGACCAATCTCAATTCTTCTCATGCTTCTGCTAATGCTAACCATCACAAAGACAAGAGTGTTTTCTTGTATAACTGGAATAACTCTAAATCCATCAAAGACGAAGAACAACGCGTTACAGAAGAAGAAGAAGATGAAGATGGTTCTTCATCGCTACTTGGAAGTTTGGAGGGATGTTTGAGCGATGCGCGCTACGGTTGTGATTCCAAGAGTGACGGTGGGACCAGACGAAATCCGAATTCGAGAAGAACGGTTCCTATTCACGTTAGTAAGAAGAAAAAGAGTAAGAAAAATCGTTATTCTTTGTCGCCATTGGTTAATAATGATGATTCTGATGATTATTGTAACTCGCTTTCTGGGGCTTCTTCGCTTCTTCTTAAGCTTAAGAGTAAGAATAAGAATAAGAACTTGTCTAAGTTTGTTAGAAGGACTAGTTTGAAAGAGGATTCTTCTTATTCCTATAGTACCCCTGCATTGTCAACTAGCTCTTTCAATAGGTATCTTCGTCGTTATCCTAGTACTGTTGGGTCGTATACTACTTCTATGAATGATGGGGATGATGAAATTGATGAGCGTTTGGATCTGCCGGGGAGTCGCGGGTGTGGGATTCCGTGTTATTGGTCGAAGAGGACGCCGAAACGGGGATGTGGGAGTTGTTGTTCTCCTTCGTTTTCGGATACTTTGAGGAGAAAGGGTAGTAGTATGTTGTGTGGAAGTCAGTCTATGTATTCGAGACACCGGAGATCGTCTTCTTCAACTTCGCAGCCGCAGAAGCGGAGAATGTATTTGAGGAATGGTCGTGGAGGAGGAGGAGGTGTTATGCCTTTGCTTAATAGCACTAGCAGTGGTGATGTGAGACAATGTTCGTCGTCTATTGGTATTGGTAGGAGTAGGACGGATGATGAACTTTCTAGTAACTTTGGGGAGCTTGATCTTGAGGGATTGAGCAGACTTGATGGAAGAAGGTGGTCATCAAGTTGTAGGAGTCAAGAGGGTCTGGAGATTGTTCCTATCAATGGAGGTGATGAAGAAGGCTCCTCCGAAAACGGTAGAAGTTTCAGCCACAAGTATAAGCCTTTGTTCTTTGGTGAACTCATTGGGCAGAATATTGTGGTTCACTCTCTCATCAATGCTGTTTCCAGAGGCAGAATTGCTCCTGTCTATCTTTTTCAGGGTCCTCGTGGGACTGGCAAAACTTCTACTGCTAGGATATTTGCCACTGCCTTGAATTGTGCGGCTTCTGATGAAGGTAAGCCTTGTGGTTACTGCAGGGAATGTGCTGATTTCATTTCTGGTAAGAGCAGTGATCTGGTGGAGGTTGATGGGTCTAATAAGAAAGGAATTGATAGAGTTAGATATCTGCTGAAAAGATTGTTGGTTGGGTCTTCTTCGGCGGCCTCCTCGCGATATACGGTTTTTGTTATTGATGAATGTCACTTGTTAACCTCCAAGGCATGGCTTGGATTTCTCAAGTTTCTCGAAGAACCGCCTCAGCATGTTGTGTTCATATTTATAACATCAGATATTGACAATGTGCCAAGAACAATTCAGTCTCGATGTCAGAAGTACCTTTTCAATAAAATTAAAGATGGGGATATTACGACAAGGTTAAAGAAACTATCTACTCAGGAGAACCTCGACGTCGACACAGATGCCCTGGACCTTATTGCCATGAATGCAGACGGTTCACTTCGAGATGCAGAGACAATGTTAGAACAGCTTAGCTTGCTGGGAAAAAGAATCACCACTTCTCTTGTCAACGAACTTGTGAGTTTGCTGTGGCTATTTTTCTTTGAAATGTAACAGTTCTGACAATACTTTTTGTCTTCAATATAAGTTTTTCTTTTGGTTGTATGAATCTATCTTTAACAAATAATGCTCTTTTGTATCACCTGCAACAGGTTGGAGTTGTTTCGGATGAAAAACTATTGGAACTTTTGGAATTAGCAATGTCAGCAGACACTGCAGAGACGGTGAAAAGATCCAGAGAATTGATGGACTCCGGAGTTGATCCAATGGTTTTGATGTCTCAACTAGCTGGCCTTATTATGGACATCATTGCTGGATCATATGCGGTCGTTGACACCAAACCCGATGGTTCATTCTTTGGTGGCCGGAGTTGTGAGTGCAATCTCTGTTTCCATTTCATAAGATCTTTATTTTTGTTCATCACATTTTTGCATTGATATGGTGGTTAATCTTTAAAACCTAGAGAATAATCTGGCGTGTTATTTAGTTCAATGTCATTTCTCATTCTAAAGTTTAGAGTGACTGAAAGAGAAAAGTCCTCCAGTATAATGAATTTCGACAATGTCAATTGAGAATGAATGCTCTTTGATCTTTTTTGTTGACCTTAGTCTTTTTTGGCACATATTATCAATACACTACATGTTTAGAGAATATTATATCTGCGTTGGTCATTTTCTCCTATATGTTTTGGGTGCTTTTATCCCTTTGGATTGTCATATAATGAAAATCATACAATCGGATGATTATTGAAATATGCAATTGGATTTCATGCTCAGTGAATGAAGCGGAGTTGGAGAGATTAAAGAATGCTTTGAAGCTTCTCTCAGAGGCTGAGAAACAGCTAAGGACTTCCAGTGAACGCTCAACATGGTTTACAGCAACTCTTTTACAACTTGGTTCCGTACCTTCTTCGGATATTACTCAGTCAAGCAGCAGCAGGAGGCAGAGCTACAAGACAACAGAAGATGAACCATCAAGTGCTTCAAGAGAAGTTACTTCTTTCAAGCACAAGTCAGGCCTCCAATATTTGTCTCAAAAATCAACACCCACTGCTTCCCACCAAAAAGCAGTAAATGGCAATTCCGGCCTTCAAATTGATGGTTTCAGCTTGAAATCAAAGCCGTCAAATAGCCCAGTTATAAATGATGGCTCCACAGTGGTCTCGTCTGATGATCTTATAGTTGGGAATACAATGTTTAGATGCATAGAATCTGAGAAGTTATGCGACATATGGGCATGTTGTATTGAGAGGTGCCACTCTAAGACATTAAGACAGCTGCTACAAGATTACGGAAAGCTTGTGTCCATATCTGAAGTTCAAGGTAAGCTGATAGTATGCTCAGAACTGATGTTCTTGCTTTGTACTACTACTAAGCTCTTTACATTTAACAAACCTGATACAAGATGCTTTTTATCGCTATGATTTTCAAATTCTGAAGCTGTCAATGATTCACTTATGCTTCGTTTTTATTGATGATAACTATCCGTTGATTGCTTGCTTTTCGTAAATGTTTTTGCTTACGTCTCTTTTTCAGTTCAGTTATGTCTAGTTCTATCATTAAAACAAGCTAGTGATGCTTTACTGGTTACTAGATATTTTGTGAAATATTATATACCTAAGAATAATGTTAAGTTCCTAGCAGTTTAAGATTACTAAAAACTAAGATAACACAATTATCCCTAAAATAGCATATTTCATCTTGGACTTATTGTTTATGCAGCGTTATTCCCTCTAATATAATTTATACATATTCTAACAGTTCTTTCTCGTTCCTTCGCTTCGCTGTATAACATCTCTCCCTGTTCTTTCCTCTAATCTTTTACACCTTATTACTAAAAGCCAGCTTTTGTTGTCATGTATTGTTCCCTCCTCCTAATGTGTAGTTCTTCTAGCAGGTGTTCTTGTAGCATATGTTGCATTTGGGGATGAAGATATTAAACTCAGGGTTGAAAGGTTTTTAAGCAGCATTACAAACTCCTTGGAGATTGTTCTTAGACGCATTGTGGAGGTTAGAATTATCCTCTTGCCAGATGGTGAAGGTGAAAATCAGGTTAATTTGCCGGGCCTAAAGCAAGCTGTGTCACCACTGGCAAGTGAGAACGAACAAAGGCGAGGAGGCCATATGAATGGAAACATGCCATATTCGAGTTTGCATCAATCTGCCATAGGTTCATCAGATATTCTGACCGAAGGAAATGGCGTGAAGGAAAGAAGACGAGATAATCCAGTGCAGAGAATTGAATCCATCATTCGTGAGCAGAGGTTGGAAACTGCCTGGTTGCAGGCTGTAGAAAAAGGTTCCCCTGGATCATTGAGTCGGTTGAGACCTGAGAAGAATCAAGTCCTGCCTCAGGATGGTGCTTATTGTGTAAGCTCAATGGAGTCCATGGATTCATTAAGATTTTCCTCTCAACAGCATAGAGAAGATGGCGCAAATAGTGATCTTAAAATTTTGGGCCTTAAAAATGGAAGGGTCCTACCGAAGGATCAGATTGGTAAAAGGGCCGACAGTCGTCCAATGTCCCCAAGTATATTGCATGACAGCAGTTTAGCAACTATTTCTGGAAAAGATAACCAGTAAGTCTCCCATCAATTGTGCAATCTATTTCTCTTGTACATTATTATTAAAACTATATTGTATTGCTTGGTGAAGTCATTGCATGATTGGTGGCCAAAGTAGCTGTCATGTTTAGAATGTGTTTCTTGGATGCAGAAACTAATAATTTCTTGTAGGATAGTGGAATAATTGTCTTTGAAAAGTTAAAAAAACGTTTCCAATGCTTTAACTAATCATATGGAAATAACTATAAAATGTAGAATTTAAATGGGAAATATTGGGGAAAAAAATACTAATTTGTCTAAAGAGTGAGACATGTTTTGGATTTTTTGGTTATTTTAGTCAAAATTCAGGTTATATTTGTTGCTAATTGTTTTTTCTGCAGGGGTTATGAATCGGGGTCTGGAGGTAGAGGTTGTGGATTTTTATGTTGGAATAGAAAGTCCAACAATAAAAGGACAGGGAAGGTAACTACAATCTGAGCTTATATTTTCTGAAAATTCATCTACTTGTCTAAATAACCAACAATAACAAATCTACTTGTTTAATTCTGTTGGAAGCAGATAAAAGGCACTCCAGTTGGAGGATCGCGTAAAGCCGGGCGTTCTTCCGTGCTTGGCGAGTTTGGTAAGCGGAAGAAAAAGGAGCGGAATAGATAAGGGGTCATCATATATTCTTTTTCCTTAGAAATTTTCCCTACTTTTTCTTTCTTTATTCGACGGATGTGAGTGTAAAATGCGAAAGGTTCTGTTGTTCAGCAGCTTCTATTTATGTTCTCCTTTTGCTCCATCCTTTGTTTATGAAATGAATAAAGAGAAACAGTGCAACTTTTTTTTATACTTTCTTCATGATCATAATTGCTTTAATACTTTTTATCCTTCTTAAGAGAAGTATCATTTACTTTTTCCAAATATAAACGGTTAGAAACTTATAAAGTTGTTGAAATATAATTGGCATTGTTTCAACTAAGCATAGTAATAGTAATAAAAGAAAACGAAGATGGGAATGGTAAAAAGTGATTATAGTTGAGTTTCAGGAAAAGCTGGTTTGGTACTTGATAGTAGTGAGTGTGAACGAGCGTGCATATAAAGGTACTTTGACTGTAAGTAGGTAAAGCTTATATCTTTAATACTAAATTGAAATCAGCAATGGAAGGTTTGAAATGTGACAAGTGTCTATCAATGTAGTTTTTTCAATCATCTCATAACTTTTGTGCTTTACAGCTAACAGTATAATTGAAATTGATTCATGATAATCTAGCTAGGTAGTTCATAGAAGAATGCAGTGCACCTATATAATAATAATATTATGATTCATACAAAAACATCCCGCCAAAATATACCATCCAATCAATTTCTCTTGAAATTGTCATTGTCGATGCGACCACCATTTCACTTCTTGTCTTTTTAACCTATTTTCCCTCTTAAAATAAACCCCACTCTTCCATTTACAATTTTTAATTATTTAGTAAGTTGTACTTGTATCAATTTAGTAAACTAAATTACTTTAATAATTTGATTAGAAAATAAAAGTATAATAAATAATAAATATTACAAAGAAATTAAAATTCTTAATTACAAAAATAGGAAAAAAAAAATTAAAATTGCATTTGTCAGAGTCTCTGTAAATGAACCTTAATTCGACATCGATGAGATACTCTTTGTTGTTAGATATCTCTTGGTTTGTCGTTGACCTCTACGAGGTATCCTTTGGTGGTTGAGGATTTGCTTTTAAAATCTAATTGATGTTTGACGTGAATTGGTATTGCGATTGTATTGTTTGTGGGTTTGATGTTTTAATGGATGGATAGTAGAAGTTTGTTTGTTGGGGGTGGATTTGTGTTATTGTTTGATAGTTGAAGTTAGGTGATGGAGTTGGGATTGAATGATTGAGTTGGAAAAATAGAATTTGTTGGGGGAGTGTTTGGGAATTGTAGTTGAGTTGATGTGGTGGTTGCATGTATGAGCATGAATTAGAGGGTTTGATTTTGGTGTTTGTTGAGGAAATTGAGGGTTAAAATTTTGTTATTGGTGGATAGCTTGCATGTATTGGAATTAGTTGCTAAAAAGTTGGTGATGTATGTTGGTGTAAGTAAGTAGTGTTATGATTTGGGTGTACATGTGTATAAGTTGAGTGTTACTCTCTCTTTTTTTAAATTATAAGTTATTTTTAAAAAAAATTCTCAAACTATAAGTCAAAATTAATGATATTTTTCTAATATATTATATATCATTTATTATCATTTCTTCTTTTAATTCTTTAACTTTCTCTTTTATAGGTAATAAATGAAAGACACAATTGTAAAATCATACATAATTTCTCTTCTCTATATAACATTAATTACGTTTTTTAATTTGTGTAAAATATCCAAAACTTCTTATAATTTGAGACGGAAGTAATAGTTGCATATTGTCTTGAAAAAGATTGTTGTTCACGTGACTTAACTAATAGTTTATTCGTAGAGATAATATTTTGCAATAGTTTATACCAAGCCTTATATTCTTGATTGTGTTTAGCTTAAAATATGGTCAAGTTGAGATTGTGTCAATTCTTCCATTATTTATTTCTTTCTTATTAACTTCCTTTCGTATTGGCTTTCCAAGCACCAACTATAGTCATTCATGTGACATCCTATTCGAGGGCATCGATTTGAAACCCTTTTTTCCACATATTTGATATAATTTTAGAACTAAATGTGAATTTGTGATTTTACCATAAAGGATATCTTGGTTGATTCTCAATAACATTACATAGTGTCATAAGTCAAATGAAGTACATTTAACTCTAAAGAAATAATTAAGTTGATAATCTAAGGGTCGAAGAAAAAGAACAAGGTGAAAAAATACCCAAGATAAAGTGGAATGACATATTTGAGATTTTCTCATTAATGAGGGGGCAAAATTGTAAGTTGGCAAGAATTTATTTATAGAGATAGCTAAGGTAAAAACTTAGATTTTCCATTCCTCTTTGTATGTGCGTGCGTGCGTGCGTGTGTGTGTGAGAGAGAGAAAGAATAAGGAGAAGAAGAGGAGGAACACCTCTTCGTGGATGAAGATCAAGGAATTTCTCAAAGATCATACTTTATCTTCCTTTTCTCTATGATAACCTTTGGAAAACGTCAATATAGTTTAGTCGCTATTTAAAAGAATTTGACAAGTTTTTTAACTCATCTTCATCCTCTCTAGCTCAATTATCTTTCTTTAACCACCCTTAAATACTCAATCACATGATCGAGCTTCAAATGAGAGATTTAACATAGGATACACAATGAGCATGGAAAAAAAGATGAAACTTTGGGCTTGCATGTAAGGATAACGAGGAAGGATCACCATTATCTCAAAGTTTTACTAAAAGATAGTGGTAATTGACTATTTGCATATAAACTTAGTTTTTAGGTTATTCGGGAGATGGTAATCAATTACCACATGTTGGTAATCGATTACAGGACTTAAAAATTGTGGTTTTGAGAGGAAGAATCGAATGGTAATTGATTACACCCAGTAGGTAATAGATTGCCCAACTTAAAATCATCATAACTTGAGTTTAGAAACTCCAATTTTGGTGAGACCAATTGTGTTAAAAAACTAATGCAAATAGGTATAACGTAGCAAAACTTTCATAACCTTATTGTAATTCCTACAATTTTTTGAGTGTAGAAAATAGGTCTTGATTAAGAAACTAAAAGCCTCTAGGAAGCTGATGTCAAGGCATTATTTGTAATGCCTATGTTTATATATGATAACAAAAGAATATATAGAAAACCTATGAAGAATCATAGGGTTACTCATGGAATGAGATACTTAGGTAATGGAAAAGATGATCTCTACCGATTGTTATCAGATGTATTATGGGCAGTATCAAGACATAATATCATGAAAGTTACGTGGTACTTCAAGATTTTCGTAGGACAATAAGTAACCGAGATACCCGTAGAGGATGATACGACTTCCTGCGTCCGATAAGTGCATGAAAATGTAAGTAGAGTGGTTAACATGATCAAGGTGGTAGGTGTCGCACCTCGAAAAATCACGGAGATATTTCGGAGAATACGACCTTCGCGCGAAAGGCGCGGAAATTGCGGTTCGACAGAGTCGCCACCGAACTTTATTTTTCCCGAATAAACGGGAGAGGAAAATATCGAGAAAACCTCTTGAAACGAAAGGATAGGAACAGGGCTGTCGCAACCAAGTTCCGGGTTCGGGAGTCGGTTACGTGAGGGGAAGGTATTAGCACCCCTCACGTCCGTCGTACTCGACGGGAACCTCTTAAGGTAAATGTGGGGAGTGTTGTTTAGGTTTACTTGTTTGCTTCTCGTTGTTAAAGGTAGAATTGGTAGGTTGAAAAGGTTAACGACGCTAAGGAGAGATGGGTGGTTAGAAGATAGGATGCTCGCCAAGGATTGGGGCCCTTGTGCCTACGTATGCTCATTCGGACGAGAATGAGAAATCAGAGCGTCGTAGTTCGACTACGAGAAAGGATTGGGGAAAACGGAAGATGGATAGAAGTGTGCTCGCCAAGATCATCGCAATCTTGTGCCTACGTATCTTATATTCAAGAATGAATAAAGAATCAGAGCGTCCGTAGTTCGTGGTAACGACCACGAAAATATGAGGTTTAAAATGGGTTGAAGTTGAGTTGGGAGACGAAAGAGTGACTGACAAACAACCTAAGGGCGTGCCTCAAGAGCTTGTCATTCAAGAATTCAAGGAATGCGAGATCCCAAGAACTCAGTTCTTTCGGAAATTGAGTTGAGCAAGTTGAAGATAAGAATTGGATGTTTTGAAATCGAAAGAATGAACTAATAACAACTCGGGGGCGTGCCCAAGAGTTACTCATTCGAATATTCAAAGAATGCTAGATTCTAAGAACATCCCTCTTTCGCAAGTTTAAAGAATGTGTGTGAAAAGACTGAATCAGAAAAATGGCATGCGAGGCCAAAGGAAGTTGTTTTGAAGTGGTTCGACGACGTGTCGAGGATTTGATTGAAGATGGAACCGGCTTGACGACGTGTCAAGGGTTAAGGTTGTGAGAAACGATATTAGTCCCTGAGGGTGCTCCTAATATCGAGACCACGAGGAATTGTGAAAGAAATGGGTTGGTTTGCGAATGCCTACGAGCATTCGACTCAGGAGAATATTGAGAATGATTGAGTTTGAAAAACAAGTCGAAAGGTTGAGTGAATAACAACCCAAAGGGCGTGCTTCGAGAGCTATTCACTCGAAAATTCAAGGAATGCTAGACTCCAAGAACCTCCTTCTTTCGAAGTGTGAATCGAAAAAAGATATTTAAAAAGGTCGAAAGATTGAATGAATAATAATTCAAAGGGCGTGCCTCGAGAATTATTCACTCGAAAATTCAAGGAATGCTAGACTCCAAGAACCTCCTTCTTTCGAAGTTTGATCGAGAAAACGTTTGAAAAAGATTTGAAGTGAAATGAGGTATGAAAATAATTTGAGGTACGAGATGTGAGGACGTGAGATTGGATTTGAAAATGAGAGAAATGACAATTACTTGATAAATGAGACGTAGGCCTCACAACCAATTAATTGGGGTATTATCGAAATGCTAGATCTCGACGACACCTTTTTCATTTGGAGAATGTTTGAATGAACGATAGAAATATCACACAGAATGCTTGATTCCTATAATACTTCTTTGT